AAATAGAATTTTTCTTCGGTGTTATTTCAATAGGAAATTTTTACAATTCGATTTTGTTAATGTAGCCGTCTATGCTTGATATAAGTTATTTAGAATAAAAGTTTTAAATAAAAACTATGTTTTCAATCAATAATTTTTGTTGTTCAGTACAATTAACTAATCAAACGATAAATAATTAATTATTAAACTTATGGGCTATGTTGCTGCAAAAATGTAAAGAATATTTTGCAACGTGTGCTCTAAGTATAAAATATAATCTCTCTCTCTCTCTTTCGTATTTTATTAATTTTTTTTGTCTTTAACACAATTCTAAGTGGAACGGTTATAAAAATTTTAAAATTCTTAAAAACAATTTTGATATTTTACTAATAAGTATTCATTTGTAAAATAAAGCATAAACTTTTTGATATTTTGTTTATGTTTTTCCACATTTATGAATGTTTAAAACTAAAGGCAAATCAAATTTTAAAATTCTTAGAAATGTTTTGATGTTTTAATAGTAATGGTTTATTAAGTAAAATAAAAAAAAACTTCACTTATTATATAAAAGATATTATAAATCAGAAATCATTAAGACTCTCCACCACTAATCATCTCGTATTTAAACCAACACATATAGCCACAACTAATTGAAATGTGAAAGAAAGTTAAATGCAGTCTCACAAAATTTTAACCTCACTGATATTTTTTTAAAGAAACTTTATTGAACTGTAATTTAGAAGCAGTTATTTTGGATTTAACAGAATATTAAAAATGATGCTAGCAGAGTCAAAAATTGTGAATTGCATTTAAAGGAAAGACATACAACGTAAGTGATTAACTAAAAGCATATTTTGTATTCATAAATAATAAAAAATTTAAATTTGAAAAATATTAATTAAAAATGCATTTTTTAATCGAAATTTTATTTTTGAAGCATGTTTCTTAAAAATACAAGTTAAATAATTTTTTTTATTTATAAATTCGTCAGTAGATCGTAATATTAAATCTATGCACTTTACTGGGATAGCCTGGTTGGTAGGGTGATGGGCCCATGTCCAAGAGGTCGTAAGTTCGATCCCCGCCGGCCGAAGATTCCCCGTGTAGTAAACAGTGACTGGTACACGTTAAATCTATCAGGTTACAAAATCCTCAATGTTCCCATAACAAATTAATTCCGCCGAGGGGATTGAATTGGAGATCTCTGGTTCAGAACAAAATTAATATCTGTGGATAAATGTATGGATGTATGAATGGGTGAGCCCTGTAAACGAGCTGAGACGTGTGTGTGGCTGAAGATGTATTCTTAGACATAGATGGAGCCACTGAAAAACAAAAAACGCACCCTCTACCTTAAATTCGCTTGGTTTCATCAAGTAAGCTTGCTAGTATCTGCAAGTGTCATTAGAAACAACAACAACCCTTTACTTGTTTGAAGAAGCGTATATACAACCTCCTTTAGTGTCTATTCAACCCCTAGAGTATAAACAACCTCTTTTAGCGTATATTCAACCTCACTCGTTTGCAATCCTCCAAAAGTTTTCAAACAATCACATCTACTACTTGAAAAATGCGATATATTTGATGTATACGCACACACATTATAACAAAAACTGTTTCAAAAAATAATTTTACTTTTTTTCTTCTATTATTGTATAAATTATTAGAAGAGAAGAGTAAAACTTTAGTTTTGTAATGTAAGCTCTTAAATTTCTGAATCAAATGAAATGACGTGTAAGTGTATGGTATAAACTATTATTTTTAATTAACCAGAAAACAATTTTTCTTTCGATAAAAATTAAACCATGTTGAGTACAGCGGAAAAGCGATATCAAAACAGAAACACTGAATAAAAATGTTCTTTTTTGTTAAAATGAAGAAAAAATAAAATCGTGTTGCATACAAAAAATCAAGATCAAAACAGAAACATGGAATAAAAATGCTCTCTTTGCTAATGATCGTTTAAGTCGTCTACTCTGACGAAAGCAGGTTTTGAGATAGTTGAATACTATCCTAATTAAATCTTTCAAATAAAAATCTAAATGATTCGGAGGTTCTTTTTGTACACTGTAAAAATTCCGGATCAAATTATTGTAAAAAGTACCGGCACTCTGTGTTTTTCTATTTTTACCAGAGCGTGTAACTGAACAAAAAAATCTGAAAGGCCGAAATTTTTGCAGTAATCATAGCAAAATCCCTAAATCACTCGCATTAAATATATATTACTGTAAAAAATTGCGTTATAACACTTTACGGTAAAAATGAATTTTACCATAAAATGGATTTTAAGGATGATGCATCCACACTGCTGATACTTTATACCGTAATTTGATTCACAATGTATGTGGAAAGAACTGTAAGATAGGTTCGCTTCAGAATGATATAAATTTTTTAAAATCAGCGTCTTTTAAGTCTAACTTAAGTTAAATTTTTTTATTTTTATAGCATGGATATAGTTCACATTGCATAGAATTTTTGTACTTCTTTTCCTTTCGTTCCTTTGTAATAATCCTATGCATTTCAACTCATATTCACTTTGAAAAAAATATAAAACATACGAAATATATTTCACGTTGGAAGAAAGTATTCCACCTGTATCCAATGAAATTAAATTCATTAGAAATAAAAACGAATATTTAAACGTGAAAAATATATTTCATGTATATGAATATGAAAACGTAGCATTATTTCTAAAACTATTTTTCATTACAAACCAAGCTTATTTCAAGTACATTTTCTACTTTGAGAATAACATCATTGTCAACGGTAAATACATTAGTTATGATCATTGCATCGGTGAAATAAAATGAGTGTAAAGACGGTTTGTACCCATCTGATTTATAGTACTCTGGGAATAGTAAAACCAACGGCAAATATCATTTAATGCAACCAGATTACATAGAATATCAATATAACTGAAACAGATAAAGCTTAGAGTGGAAGATACCACAATTGATGCTTGCATTGCCCCAAATGTAAAGGAACAACTTTATTAGAGTGAGAAGTCTTCAATTAATGTTTATAGTGAACAAAGTTTAAAGGATCAAATTTAGAGTTTAAAGAACTAAATTAACGTTTACATTGCACCTACTGTACAGGAATAATATATATATATATATATATATAATGAAATAAGTTTAATGGATTAAATTTAGAGTTTCAAATAATCTTCACAGCACACTACATATAAAAAGGCCAAATTTATAATATGAAGTAGTACACTGAAGCGAAGATTACAATTAAGTTTGCATTGTCCCAAGTGTAAGCTATCATATTCAGGGAAATAACTTGTTAAAGTTTCTTAAACTTATTTTAAAAAGAGTTCTTCTCACAAGTTAGAGAATTCCAAAAATAAAGTTGGGAAATTTCTCTGTATTAACCACGTTTTTGAATTCATCGGAGGGAAGAGTTTTAGGTATAAAAGCGAAATCCTCGCACTATCTGCTGGCTTCTCTGCGCAACAGTTAGATAATGTTTCTCGGGTTCGCTCTGGAAAATGGATGTTTGTAGGGAACAGTTTCTTACAAAAGAATTAGTCCTCGTTATTACCGATCATCATCACAAAAATAATAATAATCAGTAAAGACACTGTCAAAATAAAAGTGCAAAGCGGTAAAAAAACGGATGCTTGTAGGGAAAACTTTCTTACAAAAGTAGTAGTCCTCGTTGTTACCTATCATCACTTCAAAAAATAAAAATAATAATAATAATGATCAGTAAAGACACTGTCAAAATAAAAGTGCAAAGCGCTAAAAAAACGGATGCTTGTAGGGAAAACATTCTTACAAAAGCAGTAGTCCCCGTTGTTATCTATCATCACTTCAAAAAAATAAAAATAATAATAATAAAATGTTTAGTAATATGATATGATCGAACGTTTTATAACGTTCAGTTTCCATTATTTTTTAAAATTAATTAAAACTTGTGACTGATATCGCGCCAACAATACATGGGCCTACAGCATTTTAAAATAACCAAAGTTTCACAATTTTATTCTCCAGAAACTTTTGAATACTTTTTCGAAGGTGTGATAGATCAATGTTTTAATTCATTATAGTTGTTTTCATCCGATTTGTATTGCCATGTACTAAAATAATTTTAGAGTTTTTGCGTTTTAACTTACAAAGCAGCGTGGTCAACTTATTTATCAATCAGCAATTATGTAATTTAAACCTACATTTTATACAATATTATAAATAACTGTTATGCGGGATACAGAACTATAATAACTTTTTCGAATTAAGTTTCAGCGTAATGATTTTCAACAATTCGTTTATCTTTTAACAAAAGAAAGACTATACTATAATCTATTGCGACGTTTCCATGTATAAAGTATAATTAATAAATTTCTTTTGGCATCGAAGTAAAATATGCAACTTGTAATTAAGATTTGCGTATTTAAATTTGATTTATTTTTGCAGTTTCAACTAAAATTATGAAAATTATTTCCTAGCAAATATTTATTTATTTATACTTTATACACGTATATAAATAATCCTTTTCCCATTTTGAGCATATATTCATAACTCGTGTATCTGTTCGATTTTTATACGAACGAATTACTTGAGTAAGACCTTAAAAAAAATAATATTAATATTAAATTTGAAATAACAATGGTTATTGCAACTGATTTCCAAGCATCGAATATATGTTTATTTAAAACTAAACAAGTTTAAAAAGTACATATAAATTAAAATACGCTGCAAAAAAACCAACGAGCAATTTACTAAAGCAATTATGCTCCATTTTTTGCACCGCAACTTTTAAAACGCATCACTTCAATCGTAAACAAACGCACGTGCTTTTTGCGCTCTCTGTTCCCGATTAATCATGAGCAATTTAAGATACAATTTCGTATGAAACTGTAAACGATTAAAACAAGGAAAAAGTTACATAAAATATCCTGGTTATAGTTACGCAATTTTTTTCTTAGATATTTTTTTTTTGACATCGATATTTGTTTTGAATTTTATATTTATGTATTTTAAAGGAAAATGATAAGATATAATTCGATAACTCACCATATTAATTTCAGCTGCCGGACCGGTGATGTCTGCTATTCCAACACCTATTTTGTAAACATCTCCACATTTTACAGAAACAAAAGTTAATACCGAAACTAAAACATAAAAAACTCTTTGTGCGAAGTGTAGCATTTTTCCCCTAAGACTAGAATGTTATGTTTTCCCCGTACTCATGCACTCGGCGCGAAAAAACACTGAAAAGCTTCTTTAATTTTTTTGTTGTCTGACAATCAGCTGTTCGAAAGTAACGCCTTCTGGTGGTCAAAACATAAAGTTATTCTTTGATGTAGCATTGAATTTTTTTTTTTTAAAAGTTATGATAATTTTTATCAGTTATTATCGGTATTTTTATTTTGTTGTTCCTTTTTTTGTGTCATCTGTAACGATCTGTCACAGAAATAAATAAATTCAAGGAAATATAAACAAATAAAAATTTACTGTTTTTCTTCGTAAAAGGAAAAAGTCTTTAAAATGATAAACAATGGATAACTTCCCTTACGGAATTGATAGGGGAAAAAAGCGATCCTTAATCTTGTAATACAAAAGTATTTAATATTTAATGTCATTTCAATTAATTTTATGTGAAAAAAATGTTCTACCATTTTTATTTATGTTATAATATATATCACATAATCACATAATATATATAATATACATTATGTTATGATATTATATATATATACATAATAT